ACTTCACCCAAGAGTTGTTTAATTAGAACAAAAGACACTTACATCACTCAGGCAATTACAAGGAATTAAGGAGCTATGTGTGAAGCATCAGAGACAAAAGACAAAGTTTATTATTTCTTATTGTATCACAAGAACAAGCCTGTAGTATTAGTGATCTTATAAGCATTTTACAGTTCTTTAATCTGTCATGAAAGACAAACCACTCTTTAAATCAAGGGGTAAACATTTAACTGCCTACTACAGTGCCTGGACAAACAGCAATGCTGAGTGAAGGGGGCCTGGTGAAAGAACAAGATGGATAAGAAGTGGTATGGACCGCTTCATTTAGACCAGCCAAGTGTCACCATGCAGGGGACCCACATGTAGGAATGTAGGTTCAGTGCTGCAACATCACAGGTCTGATTATTCAAGAAGAGCCAGAAGTCCTTATTTTTGTGTGAAACTTCCCAATTTTTAAAACACAGTACAGTCCAAACATACATATCTTCAGGCTAAATATAGTCAATGAATGCAGAGGGTGGGGGTGGGGTCAAAAGGTACAAATTCCCAGTTATAAAAGTGACTATAGTTAGTAATACTATATCACATAATTGAAAGTACCTCAGAGAATGGACCTTGAAAATCCTCACCATAAAGAAAAAAATTTCTCTAACTATGTACAGTGACAGTAATTAACTGGACTTATTATGGTCACTTTGCAATACATACAAATACTGAAGCATTACACTGCACATCCAAAACTAATATAATGTTATGTCAATCATACCTCAATTTATATTCAATATATGTATATATACAAATCAACTGTCTCAAATCCTCTCAACTCTTATTCATCAGTAGAACCTGCCAGCAAAACCTACCTAAATTTCTAATTAAGTGCATCCTCCAACACACTTTCTCAAAGTAATTAAGTTAAAGCTTCCAGGCCATGCAAAATAATAAAAATTAAGAAGACTGACATGTGACCAATTAATCCCCATTCTGTTTTATTAGTTTCCCGAAATTGGTAGTATAAAAGTGGTAGTAGGACTGGTAGCAGTTACAATAAAATTTATAAACTCCCAACTAACTCTGATACATCTCTCATAATGTAATTTAACCTCTGGAGTATTCATAAAAATTTTAATAATCTTATATATCACCAACAGTACTATAAATCATTTCACTTAATTTCTTACATCAGATAAAGTTTATATTTCATTATTATACTATAACTGCCTCAAACTCTTAGATGTTAATGTACTCAGTATACTTACCAAAGTTTATGTAAATCTTCATTACTTTTGTTCCTTAATTGCTGACAGGTCCATGAAGCTCCTATTAAAGTGATAAACTCATAACATGAAATAATTTTCTAGTTACGTGTCCTTTGGCAAATTACTTAATCTCTCTAAACCTGTTTCCTTATCTATAAAATATATAATAGCTTTTTATACTATAGTACAATATATAATTAGGACTTGTGATTAAATTAGATATTAGTAATGTGACTAGCAATAGCATTCAAAACATCTCAGTATTTGTACAAAATATATTTTCAGTCTAATGTCAAAATACTTACTATTCTTATAAATTAATATTCAATTATCTCTAAAAAAGTGAAATCTAAAACAAACCCCAAACCTCACTTCAGTTAATAATTTCAACCCACTCCTCTTCTAAACCTTTTGTCAACCTGCCAAAGAATAGTTTACTATTATACTCTCCTTCTATTTTTCTCTAACAGACATTCCCAAAGGAACTAAAAAAAGAAATAACATATGCAATTCCCAAACTGGATAAGTAATCCAAATATGATAGAAGGTTTAATAAATATATTTAATACTGATCAATCCAAATATCTCACCAGATTTCACCTTTTCTTCCCCCCAATTCTTTGGGTCATCAAAAAATTCTTCCAGTCCTCTCCTTGACAATGTGTTATGAAGTAATCTACACTGGTGAAAAGATGCGACATCTGATGTATTCTTAGTCAACAGACTAAGAGAAAACCTGCAACTGAACATATATGAACAAGTGATTAAAGTTTCATGACATCTGGATTTTATAGGCAATAAATGGGATCATTTCCCCATTTACAATGTCAAAAAACCAACTTGGGGATTCTGCACAAGAAACAATAAACTCATAAAATGCTTTAGAAATTATTTTTAATATCCCTAGTATAGATGCTGTAATTTATCCTGTAATTTAGAGCATAATTTCAGAGATAATATATTGACATAATTATATTTTACAGTAACATTTTTAGCTCCTTCATATGCTGCTGGTGGGCATATAAGTAGATAAAAGCATTCTGAAGTTTAATTTTGCAACACATCTGAGGCCCAATGCTTCCTCCTTTAAGCCAGTAATTCAACTAGATTTAGAAATTTCAACTAAAGAAAAGATCACGTATGGGAATTGATAAATCAAAATGTCTATTGTGATGATCATTTTGAAATGTATGAAAATATCAAATCATTATGTTGTACACCTGAAACTAATTCTACTTTTAAAAAGTCTATTAAAGCATTATATATGATAACAAAAAGCTGACAATAATGTAAACATGCAACTTGGAAATGGTTAAAATAATTATTGTGCATCTGTATGATAATTTATTATGTAGCAATCTAAAAGTCATACTTGTAAACAATATTTAATGACCTGGAGAAGTAATTTAAAATACAATAATGAAATCTATCACAAGTGCTGTATTCCTACCCCCCCCCCCAAACTAACCTGAATCTAATCATGAACAAATAAGCAGACAAATCCAAATGAAGGAATATTCTAAAAAGGTTGACTTTATTAAAAAACATTAATGAGAGAAAGGCCCTGAGTGTACTTTCCAATCCTGTGTAATGTTTAATTCTTGGCAACTGAATCAAAGCAGTGTTAAATTATGGCAATATTTGCACTTTGGGAATGAGTACATAATGTATGATCACACTCTGCAAACGCCACTTTTAAAGCTGTTAATAGACTTTGCACCTTTTCTTTGACAAGGATGTGTCATATTTAAATTTTTACATTCATCATGGCTACAGGTAGAACTAGGGAGGGGGGAATGTAATTTTTTATGGGAATTTTGATATGAAAAGAAACTAATCATTTATTTATACAATAGGCTTGGCTCAAAGAGTGTTTTTCAACTTGGTATTCCTAATGTGGGATGTGACTTTATTTTTAGTAGCAGATTTGGATGTAGACTGACATAGCTGAATGTCTTAATAAATTTAAATTTGAAGATAAAAAAACATTAATGACATGAAAGAGAAAAAAAGAAACTGTTTTGGATTAAAGAAGACTAAAAAGATATGACAATTAACATGATAAATGATCACTGATTGAACCCTGAATAAAAAAGAAAGAAAAAATATTCCCAGTGTGATCGTTGTAGTATTGTGGTTAAGATATTTCTTATTTTTAGGAAATTCATGCTGAAATGTCATGATGCTTGCAATTTTGACATGCCTCAAATATTTCAGAAGAATAAAAGCACGGATATAAAAAGTATAAAAAATGTGACAAAATACTGGGGAGTGATTAATGTAAGTGAAGAGTATATTGTTATTCTTTGTATTACTTTTACAACTTTTCTTTTGGTTTGAAATTGAAAAAAAAAAGTTGGCGAAACAAGGGTAAAATATAAAAATGCATGTATGTAAGTATGATCCTGACTTTATTTTAAAATTACATGTATGTGTATATTCTGAAAGTGAAAACGAAGAAAACCTGTTTATCTCTGAATGGTAATATCATAGTTGATATTTACTCTCTTCTTCAAAAACACTTTCCCTTATTTTCCAAAGTGTCTCTAAATGAACAGATAACTTAATAGTAATGATAAAAATCTAAACTTATTTCTTAAGGAAAAACGATGATGAGATGGAAGAGACAATTGATTCAAGTCTGCCACTTTTCAAGTTACAGCCTCTGAACCTCTGCAAAAAAAAAAAAAAAAACAACCAAACCAAACCACTGCTTATCTCTGATGTTAACGTAAGGAATTACATTATAGCTGAGAGATGCCCAGTAACAGTGCTGAATTCAAAGAGCACATACATTACTTCCTCTTGGGGAAAAAAAAAACACACCAAAAACCCAATAATTTGTAAAATTCAACTCATTAAAAACAAAAGCTAATAACAAGGAGGTAATCGTACAGGTTAACGTCAAACATGATCTGTCTGTCCAGAAGACAAGCGGTCTTTCTACAAATAACCACCGTTTGTCGTATATTCTTTTCTCACACCTGCAAGGCGACTTTCAGTTCACTCGGCTTTCATTTAGTCACTCAAAATTTACTCAACACCTCCTTTTGACAGGCTCTGGGAGTACACATCCCCTTCCCCCCTTTTTAAGCCATCGAACCTGACAGAGCGCTCAGTTCTACAGCCAAAAGCTCTTCAGTGAATTTTTTAAAAAACTCACCCAGTCAAGGAGAATGCTCCTGTATCTCCACATTTAATTAAACAAATACTGGGTTTCTACAGACCCTGAGAACTGCCTGGTCCACAGTAGGTGGCAACAAAATGTTTGAGGAATTTACGTACATGTCGCAGATGGGAGTCTTCTCCAAGGTCACTGACACCTCACGAAGATGGGCTCGCGCCTAGCCATCAAGGCGGCCTTTCCAGCCCTAAACGTTCTCAGCATCTCAACAATCAAACAAATTCCAAAGTTGGGGAAGTGGACAGACCTACCCCTCAAATAACTTACCCTGTGCTAGCAAGGGCTTGAGAACTTATTAACGACGTAGAAGCCTTCAGAGCAGCCGAGACTCTCCTGCTGAAAACAGCCAAACTGGCAGCAGCCATTTTTCATATCAGCAAGGAAACCGCATTTCCGCCGAACTGGCGTCACTTCCGGAGTCTCACGCCGACCGGAAGGCGAGAACGGGAATTGGCTTTGCCCTCAGTCAACATGGCCCCTTTCCGGCTTCGCCCTCTTTGGAAGATTGGCTCTCTCGGACTCCGTTACTCTCCTCCGCTGTTCTCTTGCCCGTAGTAGCCATGGCGGCCATGAGTCTTTTGCATCGGGCTTCGGTTTCTGCAGTGGCCGCTCTGTCCGGCCGCCGTCTTGGCACTCGACTTGGATTCGGAGGCTTCCTCACCCGTGACCTCCCGAAGACTGTCGGTGGGTACTAGCTCTGGGAGAAAGCGAGATTAGGGAACGCGGGAGGAGAGATGGAGGGCTCTTCCCGGGTGACCTTGGTGGAATCCAGAGGGAGCCGGGAATAAATTGAGGACTTGGGGTTTGTGAGAAGGAGCATGGGCTGTGTGAGGAAACTTAGGGCTTTCCTGAAGTAATCAGGTCGATCGTATTTAAGTAATTAATTAGAATTTTTGTGGCACTTAGTCATTCACCTATCCTGTTGCTAATTTGTGCATGAAGCTGAGGTTAGAAAGCAAAGAACTAAGATCTCTGTTTCTCAGGCACACGATTCTTTGTATCTTGCACCTGCGCTAGATTTTACTCTCACAAGGTGGGAAGTCATGTTGCTGAGGATCCTGCCGATGCTAAGTGGTAATATATGGTCAGGTGGAGAGCTCGGGGCTAACTCATTCTCTAGGCACAGTGATCCGCCTTCATGATACTTTCAGGTGTCCACGAAAATGTTTTCATTTACATTTCTTTTAAAATCAGAAGGTAAAGGACTGTAATGTTAATGCGTATGTGATGGTAAATCTAGCCTGAATTGTATTCGTTTTATATCAATGCAGTCACAAAATAGTTATTTTTAATGTCTGTTTAGAGAGGAAGGGATCTATATGAAGATCATAGGTCTTTTCCTAGGTCCTAGGAAAGTCAGGGCAGTCGTGGAAGGTTTATTTGGAGCCTCTTGGAGACTGTGGATTGAACTCTAGGGGAATGAATAATCATAATATTAATAGCAAAGCATCAGATGCTTTGCATTCAGTCTGTTTGATTCCCTCTTGGTTTCTGCAAAGTGAATACAATGTTATTATCCCCATTTTACAGATGAGGAAACTGTGACTCAATTATTACAAAAACAATGCACTACTGTATTAAACTGAATAATAATAACAACAGCTAACATTTATTGAGCATGTATTATGTGCTGGACACCATACAGATATTAATGATATTCATTTAATCCTTTTAATTGAAAATGTGCTGTAAGCTATTTGTCCTATACAATAGATGTAGATACAGAAGAAGTGAAATTTAAAGGCAGAAAGGTTCTTCTCTGACTTAAAAATATCTTTTTCTGTTTACTGTTCTTCTCCCAATTTAATTTGAGTTATGTCATTTCACATGAAGAGGCATTATACATAGGGACTTAGTGGAAAAATGATGGAAAGGACCAATGGTATTCAACGAATTTCCAGCAGGAATTTGAACCTGCTACAAAGCCACATGTGCTCACATTCTTTGATAAAAATCCTTTGTGAGTCTTTTCTGATTACACATATCCTCTTCACATACCCCCTGCTGCCCCATAGTGTTTGATCATGCCTATCTGGAGATAAACAGAGGTAAAATTTCACTCCTAGATTCTGTTTATACACTACTCCCCGTTCTTGAAGTTCTGGAAGGATCCTTGCAGGTAATCCACACCCTTTCCACTCAAGAGCAGAAAAGGATATAATAGCTATAGTGAGTGTTACTGTGTTTTAGCTGTGAACCTGTTTTCAAAGGTATTTTGTGTGTGAAGCCTAATCTGTCACTGTGGAATAAAAGTTCATAATCTGTTTTATATTGTTTATGCCTGCCTCTGGGCTTCCCAGGTGGCACAGTAGTAAATAATCTGCCTGCCAGTACAGGAGATGCAAGAGACGTGGTTTGATTTCTGGGTCAGGAAGATCCCCTGGAGAAGGAAATAGCAACCCACTTCAGTGTTCCCGCCTGGACAATCCCATGAACAGAGAAGCCTGGCCAGCTACAGTCCATGGGGTCACAAAGAGTTGGATACAACTAAGCAGTTGAGCGCATACAGGCACACCCGCACACATTCGCTGCCTCTCTGGGAATGTAAGATCCAGCAGAGCAGACAACCTTGCCTGCTTTTGTTTCCTCTGGAGCTGAACTGTTCAGTTCAATTCAGTCCCTCAGTCGTGTCTGACTCTTTATGACCCCATAAACCGCAGCATGCCAGGCCTCCCTGCCTATCACCAACTCCCGGAGTTTACCCAAACTCATGTCCATCGAGTTGGTGATGCCATCCAGCCATCTCATCCTCTGTCGTCCCCTTCTCCTCCTGCCCCCAATCCCTCCCAACATCAGGGTCTTTTCCAATGAGTCAACTCTTCGCATGAGGTGGCCAAAGTACTGGAGTTTCAGCTTCAGCATCAGTCCTTCCAGTGCACACCCAGGACTGATCTCCTTTAGGATGGACTGGTTGGATCTCCTTGCAGTCCAAGGGACTCTCAAGAGTCTTCTCCAACACCACAGTTCAAAAGCATCAATTCTTCGGTGCTCAGCTTTCTTTACAGTCCAACTCTCACATCCATACATAACCATTGGAAAAACTATAGCCTTGACTAGATGGACCTTTGTTGACAAAGCAATGTCTCTGCTGCCTAGGTTTCAACTCTGGCTCCAGAATTCAATAATTCTGTGAATTTGGGTCATCTCATTTGGGAAGTTAAGTAAAAGACACTTAATTACTCTGAACCTACAGTTCTTCATCTTTAAAAATAGAGGATTTCTTTTTTTTTTTTAAGAGAGGATTTTTACTACAAATGTGCTTATACTCTGTTGACTTAACAGGGAAATAAAACCAGTCTTATTCTCACTGACAAGTACTTATAACCCTGAGATGTGCTTCCGCTTGATTTTGCATCTTTCTAGAAATGTTATTTTGAAATAAATGTATCTTACCATAAGAACTGTTTAAAAAAAGAGAGTGATAATTTTAACTTACCTCAAAGGTAGTGGTAAAGAGTGAGTGGGAAGGATCTGCAGCACCAAGCATTACCTTCTTCAAGGCCCTGTGGCCACAACTTTCTTAAACCTTTAGTACTGCCATGTTATCATCACCCTCAGCACAGATTAAAGTGTTCTATTTAATTAAATTATTAAATGTTAAACATCAGTGGATTCTAGAAACAAGCTTAAGTTCTCTCCTCAGCTGCAGAGAACTTTTGTGTTGAAGGCTGATGTCCATATGTTATGACTTTAAAACCTGAGAAGAGTATTAAAATGATTTTATAAACAAAAGTCGCGTGGACTGAGTTCACACATGGATGATGGGGCATGTTAATAGATTCTAGGGACAGTTTTAAGAGGTGTAACTGTCAGAAAAGTAAAGGATGTGTTTTCTGATACATCTGAAAATGGGGCTCTTGGAATAGGTAGGTTTTGAGAGAGAAGGCTGCAAAAAGGGAAGTCAGGATCATTAGGGGAGGGGGTGAATACAAAAGGACTTCCAGATGGCGCTAGTGGTAAAAAAAAAACAAAAACCCCGCCTGCCCATACAGGAGATGGAAGAGACGCTGGTTCGATCACTGGATTTGGAAGATCCCTGAAGGAGGGCACAGCAACCCACTCCAGTATTCTTGCCTGGAGAATCCCATGGACAGAGGAGCCTGGCAGGCTACAGTCCGTGGGGTTGCAAAGATTCAGATATGAACGACTGAAGCGACTTAGCACATACACGCTGAATACAAAGCCAAAGTATCTTAACAATTTGGTAGGCAGCCGAGAGTATTCAGCAGAAGAGCAGCATCAGTAGTATGTTTTAGGAAGATGCATCTGAATATTGGTTGACTTATCAAGCGTGTTGATTACTTAAGCCAATGAGGTGAAGTGGGCATGGAGAGAAATGGAAAGTTTGAATTTTAGAATCAAGAGGCCTTGACAACTGATGGATGAGGTGTAGGAAGACAAATGAGATTTTAGCTTGGGTAGTTGAGTTGGTGGTACAATTAACTGGGAATAGTCAGAGAATGAAGGAAAGAAAATTAGCTTTGGGGGTTGTCTTAGAGAGACACACAAAAATCTTACATTGAACTATTTGATCTTCACAAGTATCACAGTTGTCCACAACATAACTTTCCTGAAGTTATTTGCATTAAAAAAAATGGTTATTGAAACCTTCCACATAATTAATGAATACCTAATTGAGAAATTCCAGGCTTTAGAGAGTGGTAGAAAATGCCTGTTTTTGTGGCAGAAGGATCTGGGTTCCAGAAATCCTGCCAGCCAGCTGGTTGTAGGCAGTGTTCACGCTAGTGATTTTAGACTGTAAGCAGATGGTCCTACTGTTAATACAACAACAAATCATGAAAAGAGTTTAGTGCTATGAGGTATCTTTTAGAACTGTTAATAGTATAACAGTTATCTGGTACATTTAATGACATGAATATTTGTTCTTCAACAGTAGGAAAGCAAGAAGTTTACATTACTGTTTAATGTTGCTAGAATGCAGCCAGTCCAAGCTTTCTTCCATATTATAGTTTCTGTATTTATTAATACTTGCATTCATAAATAGTTGTCCCTAAAACCCCACATAGAGTTTAATCCTTGTGTGTGTGTATTTGTGTGTGTATGTGTTTCTGTCTGAAAGGGAAAGTTGAGACTATACTGTCTCTTCTGGATTTACTTTCAGGGCCTAAAGAAGGATTCCCTCCCAATTTTTTATTTACTTAAGAAATGTAAATTCAGCGATAGAGAGCTCCTGCCACTTGCAGACACTAAAGAGCACTGGAGATACAGTACTGAATAATTCAGCTTAGCGGTTTGTTCTAGAGGAAGTAACCAAATGACATTAAGGAGACTAAGTAGGCGACCAGCTTTGGATAGGGTAGTCAGAGAAGACTTCTTTGAAGAGGTGACATTTGATCTTATCTCTGAAGGATGGAATGAGGAGGTGGCCATTCAAAGAGCCTAAGGAAAGGCTTTCAGGCAAAGGGGAAAGTAAGGGCAAAAACGTGAAAGCAGGAAGGAGTTCTTGATGATGGAAGGAAACCATTGAGATTGATCAGTAGGAAAGATATGTCTTTTTATTCTAAGAGGATCCATCTGTCAGATTCTTTGAGAGAAAAGACCTTAGAAATCTTCTAGGCCAATCCCCTGTAGTATGCATTGTTATATTCCATTATTGACACTCAAATAACTTCAGAGTGGGGGTTGGAGAGGCAGTTCAGTTTTATTTTCAACTGCTGAAATTGTCAGAAACTTCTTTCTTGTGTCAAGCTAAAAACAGTCTTCCACACATTGATCCTCGTTCTTCCTTTCGGTTCAGTACAGCCACTGTCAGTTGACAGCCCTCAGCTATTTAAAGACGCTTGTCTGGTCTCCATCCTGACTTCTTTTTGGTGGACCAGTAAGCTTCCGTTCTTTCGGCAGGTCAGTTTCCAAGGTGTTGGGGGCGTGCTCCAGACTGTCCCTCTAAAACAGTGTCCTCTGGGATGGGCGCGCTTCAGCAGGCCTAACTAAGAGGCGGGTTGAGGGCTCCTTCTGTTTTGGCCCTGTACCTCTGATGCACCAGATTAAGACTGGATTACCTTTGAGGCTTTTTGGTGACCACATGGCACCAGTGACTTTTCTTGCTTTTTCTTTTTGCTCTCACCACAGAGCTTGCCAGATCTCAGTTCCCGGACCAGGGACTGAACCTGGGCCTCAGCAGTGAAAGCCCAAAATCCTCACCGCTGGGCCACCAGGGAACTTCCACCAGTGACTTTCCTTAAGTTTGTGAGCAACTAAATTTCTGGATGGTTCAGACAGGACTTCCCACTTACTGTACTTAATCCTTTGAGATTCAGCCTTTTGTAAATGCAGTAGGAGGGATTTGGGGAGGATCCTATTTCATCATTGGTGTGGTAGCTACTCTTAAAGCATTCGCTCTGTAATGTCAGGAATACCATCTCCACCTCATCTAGGCCATTCATAGAAATCGTGAGAGAACCCTTTGGCAGGTTACTGCATTAAGTAATCTGTACCTTTTGGGTATGATCAGGATGCCCAGTGACCAGTTGCCCACTACCAATTTTATCTAACTTGCTACTTCTCTCGGCTTATAATGTACTTATAATGTATAATCCTTGTACTCCCCTAGACTCCACCAACCTGTCTAAAGAGGAACTTTAATTAGGGCCTGTTCTTTTCTGAGATTGTATTCCTTTCTTTCCTTTGTTGTCCTTATAGATTTGTAATTTGTTATCTACTTTTTCCTCTCCCAGCAGGATCTATATACCTTTTATGCTATATACCTAGCAAAGACCTGTATATAGTGGGCACTTAAATAATATTGAATTAGTGAGTCGTTTGTACTATTATCCAACCCATTTTAGTCTCCTCCACAAAAATTTCTATTGTGTCTTTCAAATGATTTATCAAACTACATACTTACCTTGTCAAATTCTCTTGTTATTTTAGAGGCTTTAGTAGTATGATTTATACTTAGTAAATTCATGCTAGCTTCTAATTCTCTTGTGAATTAACCTTCTAAGTTCCTTGTTCAAGCTGCTGGAGGTGATAGCAAATTTTAAAAGACAGTTCTTGTTTTCAAGGTACTTACATTTCAGTGGGGGCAATTAAAGCAGGTTTGCACACCAATAGAGTATACAGCAGTTCAGAGGTAGGAGAGTTCTCATCTTGGTTGGGAAGCATTTGGTTTCTTAGAGGATAAGATGTCATCTGGGTCTAAACAGTAGATTTCAGGAGGGGGGAGGTCATTCCTGACATTTAAGTTTGAGCAGTGGGTACAATCTTTCTGACATCTATTATGACTGAAATTCCTTTAATAGTTCAAATTCCTGCTGGAGAAGTGTTGAATAATTATCTTTCCATTTATTTTGCATCAAGTCCCTAATGTATATTTCTTCATCATATGTGGCAATTTAAATTAATTTCTTTTGCACCATTAGCACATATCTATTGCAGAGATAAACAAAGAGTTCTGTGGTCCACCAAGAGTGTCTGATCTTCCTACCTGCTACTGGAACAAATTCAAATATTCATTTAGATATTTTTTCAATAAATATCTTGAATATTGATGAGTAAAAATGATGACAATGTTGAATAAAAATGAGAGTTAAAGTTTAGGACAGTACATCTTAAACACACATATATATTTTGGCAGAGAAGAGATGCTTTATCATGATTCACATTAAACATTTATGCATGTAAATTTTCTTATAATCTGATTTTTATCTCCAAATATAACAATATATCCATATAAGCCTTGTGTATAACAGGGTAACTTAATATTTTTAGCTCCTGTACGACACAGTGGAGACCATGGGAAAAGACTGTTTATCATCAAGCCTTCCGGATTCTATGACAAACGTTTTTTGAAATTACTGGTAAGTTAAAACTTTTGTTGAACTAAACTCTATGTATAAATAGGAATTTTTTTTCCTATATAGAAAACATCTTTCATTTTATAAAAGATTTTGTTTTGTAAATGCATATTCCTTTTCTCAAAAAATATTGAGATTTTGTAGTAAGGTCTGGCTTGTTATTGAATTTATTTTTAAATTAGTGAGACTTTCCTTTTTTCAAGAAAAATTCAGACATATTGGAGGAATAAATTGAACTATTTCTTTCTTCTCAAGATTATGGGGTTTTGAAATGCCCTGCCCCCCCTCCCAGTCTATAAATTTTAAAACTGAAATTGGATTCATTTGGTAATAATTATTTGTATTACTAAAATATTCTTTAAATTAGCAAAGAACTTATTGAAGGACTTCTTTAAATATGTAACTCCATTATTTTGAGATGATTTTTAAATTCTTTGTTGTTTAGGAACATTGATCTCAGAGAGTGAAGCAGATATACAGTGGAATGTGAGGAAAGATAGGAAACAGTTATGTGAAAACTTTTTTTTTCTTTTTTAATCTTAACAGAGATTCTACATTTTGTTGACTGGGATTCCAGTAGCAATTGGCATAACTTTGATAAATGTATTCATTGGTGAGTATCTTCCCCATCGACTAGACTAGTAAGTTTTTAAGACCTGTGTACATTAATATAAAAAAGAAATTATGGCTATTAGAAGGAAAAGTTCTTTACATAAAAAACTTAAGCATGAGAATTCACTTCAACCAAATCTTAATCTGCAGTAATGTACGGTGGTTCTTTTTCTAATTTTTTCCCCCAAAAAACCTTTAAGGTCACTGACTCTCTAGACCACATTAAAGACCTGACTTCTTCCGCCTTCTCAAACCAGCTTTGATAAGTCTGAATAAGGAAAACAGAAATACAGATGGAAGACTAGCTGAGGGATAGAATAAATTTTTTTATCCATCCTGGAATATAGAAAGTTATAATCTTCTTAAAAGAATGGATTTGTGAATGACAGTAAATACTAGGTTTTCCTGGAAAATTCTGCTCGAAGTACTTCTAAAACTTGAATCCTTGAATATTTTGTCTACGAGTTTTAGGAAAACTCAGAGGAATAATTTGTTTTTTAGTTTATCTTGTTACACTAAATAAAAACAAAATGAGAACTCTTGTATAATGCCTATATGCAAAGCCTTACATATAGAAGACATCTTAAAAAATAGTGAATGATTTTCCACCAGATTGAAGTGAATTTAAAATATTAGACATCTTTGTTGCTACAAAACAGAAGGTTCTTTAAAACCACAAGAGATAGGTTTCTTATTTAAATGGTGAAGAATTAACATAAACTGTTACTAAAGTTGAACATCACTGTTTTCTCTTATCAGGTGAAGCTGAGTTAGCAGAAATTCCAGAAGGCTATGTCCCAGAACACTGGGAATATTTCAAGGTTGGTATAGGTCGCTGAAAGTTATTTTCAGGGTTAGGTGCCTTGTCAATGTACTGGTTAATAGCTTAATTTAGCAATTGTGATACAGTTTTAAATTCAGTTTTTTGTATCAAGTAAATGATGCATTTTGTGTTCACTTTTTATAAGCAACTTCTTTGGGTAATTATCTGCATTGTTGTATTACTTTAAGCTTTATGGTTTTTTAAAGACTGACTTTGTACTATGTTATTAATCTAGCATAGTAACAGAATTTATCCTATGTTCTACACCATAGGAAAAAATTGTCCTGATACTAATGCTGGCTGTCATTTGTTGAATACTCACTGTGTTGCAGGCACTTTGATAGTGTTTTGCAAATATTATCTCATTCCATGTAAATCGTACTATTATTTTTCCCACTCTAAAGCTGAGGAAACTGAATCTTAAAAGGAGGTAGGTGACCTGTTTCAGGGATAGGGTCGGTATTGGTACCTAGAGTGTCTTGACTCCAAAGCCTGTACTATGAATTAATCATTTTACCATACTGTCATTGCTACTACAGTCCCAGATTAATTCTGTCTTTACAAGTGTTGTAGTAAGATGGCCTTGATTACAGTGTGTGTTTTCATGTTCTGTTTTCTGAATGAATTATATTTTAGAAAAGAAATATTTCATTATTAAATCTTGAGGTAAAGCCATACAGTTAGCTTCTCTTTGCTCACTGGTAAAAACAGCTCCATTTTGGGATCACCAAACCCCACTTTCACTCTGAAATCTGCCACTTAAGATACTCAGAGCATAGTGTAATAAGAATTAGCAAAGTTTTGGAGTCAGCCTGGCCTGAGTCCAGACACTGCAACCTAGTAACTGTACAGCCTTGTAGAATTTGCTCACCTGTAAATGAAGACAAATGTGGTATCTACAGAATGAATTACATAAAAGTGTCACTGATTAACCTGAGATGATCATTTTAGGAAAATGGTACATTGGAAAAGCGACATACTTTTTAGACACTAATCTTAAAACAAATTTTCTCTTGTAGCATCCTATATCAAGATGGATTGCCCGAACTTTCTTTGATGCTCCTGAAAAGAATTATGAAAGAACAATGGCTATCCTTCAAATTGAAGCTGAAAAGGCTGAATTACGGTAAAAGAAGGGTGGGCAGTAGAGTGTAGGGAAGAAAATCCTTTCCTACAGTTGCAAACCACAGGAAGAAATTGAATAAAACTATTTCTTTAACACTGTAAGATGCTCTGTGTAAAACGGTGAAGATGGCGAAAGGATCAGTCTGTTTAGAGTAGAGATGATGTATTGGAGACTAGGAGACTATTAGAAGATAATTTCTGTCAGATTACAAGGAATTCTTTTTTTGAAATGTCCTGACTCTTAAGTGCAAAGCAGCCTTCTCCTTCCCCTTCTCTCCACAATTCCCTTTTCTTCTGCACCCAATCTGAACCTTCAAGGTGACCACTATTTAATAATGATTTCTTGTATACATTCCTAGAAAAAATTTTATACATTAAAAATATAATATATATCATTTACAAAATGTATTAACACAAATGGAATCCTATTACCAACACTGTTCTGTGCGGTTTCTTCATTTCATGTAAATACATAGTCATCCCTTGGTATCTGTGAGAGATTGGTTCCAGGAATCTGAGGATGCTCCAGTCTGTGTATAAAATGGTGTAGAACAGTCAGCCCTCCGAGGATAGGGAGGGCCTACTGTATCTGGATGATCTTCTTGTAATAGCATATACTCCATGCTTCCCTAATGGTTGCACTGCATGGATGTGCCTTAATTTTTTTAACCAGTAGGGGACCTATTGTTGGTGTTTAGGCTCTTTTCAAGTTTTTTGATACTGTACATTGTGCTGTGCTGAATATCCTTATGCATATATTTTGCATATTTATTCAATATATCTGGAATATAAATTCCTAGCACTGGCTCTGTTAACCAAATGTTATGCTTTACACTTTAAAAAAATTTATTTGTTTATTTTTGGCTGTGCCGGGTCGTCTTTGCTGTGCAGGCTTTTCTGTAGGTGGTGACAAGCAGGGACCACTCCCCAGGTGTGATGCACAGGCTTCTCATTGCGGTAGCCTCTCTCGTTGTAGAGCATGTGCTCTGGGGTGCGCGAGCTTCAGTAGTAGGGCATGCGGGCTCCCGAGCACTGGTCCAGTAGTTGTGGCACACAGGCTTAGTTGCTCCAAGGCATGTGGGATCTTCCCAGACCAGGGATCGAACCTGTATCTCCTGCATTGACAGGCAGATTCTCTACCACTGAGCCACAAGGGAAGCCTATGCTTTCCGTTTTAGATAGCTACTGTCAGATTCCTCTTTAAAAAGTTGTACCAGTTGTCTTTTCTGTCATCAATACATAGTAAGTAATTCTGTTTCTCCATACCTTTCCCAGTAAAGGAATTTATCAAACCTAAATATTTTTGCTCGTAAGATAGTTGAAAATGTTATCTCATCATTTCAATTCTGTATTTTTTCATTGTCTATTGGTTGTTTGTGTTTCTTTTTTATAAATTGCCCATTTTTCTACTAACTTGTTGCATTGATTAAAATAACCCCTTTTGTTTTTGTTGCAGATTTGTTTTCTCTGGCTTGTCATTTGTCTTCTGACAGGGTAGAATTTTTTTGCAACATAGTGTTTTTATGTTTCAGATAACAAAAGTGCAGTAATACCTAATATATTTTGAACACTTACTAGATACTGATACTTTAATAACTTTATATATATTTATTTGTTTAATTATTGTTAGGTTTGTCAGTCTTTTTCTTTAGCTTCTGGAATTGTATGTCATGTGTACGGCTCTGGGAGTAACAAAATAAGTAAATATACAAGTGTCAAATTATTTTTGTAATGTTTGCTCATATTTCCTTTTGCTACTTTTAAATATGATCTTATTTGAGATTTATTTTGCTATTTGAAGTGAGGTTTACACACAATCAAATGTACCAATTAAGTTCAGTGAGTTTTGACAAAAGCAAACTGTAATCACCACCATCAGGTCATTTTGATCACCTAGTGAGTCTCTTTCCTGTCCCTTCAGTCAACCTCCCTTCCTCTACTCTTGACCCCAGGCTACACTGATCTACTTCCTGTTCGTTATAACTTTGTAGTTTACAAAAATTGCTGTGATATTGAAGAATATTTAAATGATTAAATGAACATATGATTAGCTTGTTTTCTGGATGTAAAATTACATGTACATGTAGTTACCATATAAAACTGTCGTTAAGTATTTAAGAGTGTGAAACAGCATTATGCTTCCCATTTGGTTAACTTTGGACATTTTTGAACTTCAGACATATACCTTTGGTAAAACACAAGATTCTAAAATTTCTTAGACATATGGAGATCCTGAATAATTTCAAAACAAAGTAAAAATAAAAGCAGGACCCTGACTTTTATCCCTAAAAGAAAAATGCCAATGTGAGCATGGAATGGGGAGTATCTACAGTTTTTAAAAAAATAGATGTTTAGGTGTGTAGAAAACTGAAGCGTAAATGAAAGGCATAAAATAGGAAGGGACTGTTTTCCATAGGGAGATAACTATTAGTTTCGATCCTCCACAATTTTTAATACCCTATTCATGTGTATATATACACAGTCACAAATGCTTTTTTCTGTTTTTTAATGAAGTGGGAAGATGCTACACATATTAATTTTATACCTTGTTTTTTTAACCTAACAGTATATCTGCTCTCTCCTTTCCATGTTACTATGTATGTAGATTTCCCTCATTCTTTTTAACAGTTGTGTAGGCTGTTCATTATATGGGTGAACCATAATTTGTTTAACCAGTCCTCTGTGATGAATATTTTAATTACTTGCATTTTGAATAATTACATTCTAAGAGTAAAAAAGAAAAAAGATTATATTTAATCCCCCCAAAAGAGAAATATGGTTTCTTAATAAATATATTATCTTATACTACCACAGAGATATATTATCTGTCATAGATTGGGTTGGTAAGCTGGTTAAGGTTAATAAAGTGAATAAATAACTATGATAAACTTCCAGTGATATAAAGTTAGTATCTATGTAGTCTATAAAAATGGAAAGTAAAAGGCCTGATGGAAAAGGGATTATTCCAGGAATGTGTGGTAGTTTATGCAAAGGCTTGGCTGTGAAAGAAGGAACCTATCTTTCTAGAGCAGAGATTATTCAGTTTGTGAAGAAGGATGAGAATGAATAAGTAGATCTTAGAGTTGGAGAACGTTTTCCTTTATCCTGCTTTTCCTTTTCTTTACCAATATTGATGGTCTGTCCAGTGTTGACCAGGCTCAGTGTGATGTTGGTGGCTGGTGAATGAGATACCGTCCCTGCTCTCAAAAGGTTTTCTGTCCTAATAGTGATGGGCAGCCAGTATAGACAGCATGTGCGCTCCTCCAGGAAGGCCTGTTCCTCTTTTAATTCCTAGCATTTGACACAACAGGCAGTCATAACAGTAGACATTCTGTAAATGACTCTCCTAACATTTAAAAGGCCAGAAGACAGGAAATGCATTACCACTGTTCAAGTGAAAGTGATTTGCCCAGACAAAGAATAGGGACAGGAGGAGAGAATTCATTATCATTTCAAGTGATGCTTGAGTGATTAGAAATAATATTCATTGGCTAACTTCAAAAGCAAGATAATAAAAGCCAAAATAAGTCCCAAATTTTGCTTACAGGTGTCTATCAGATATATGCATACACGTGGATCTGTGGCAGGACATTATATTTTACACAAGAGCAAGACTCTCCAATGGTTGGTCTTTACAGAGATAATTCATTAAATTTATATTTGGAAATGCTGTAATCACAACATCACTATTCTATTTCTTACAGATTAAAGGAGCTGGAAGTACGAAGATTAATGCGAGCAAGAGGCGATGGCCCCTGGTTTCAGTATCCGACCATCGATAAGGCACTTGTTGATCGTTCTCCAAAAGCAACACCTGACAACTAATCTTTAATTTCTCTAATACAAAGTATACTGTCTTTAGGTGAAAATCAATTACTAAATATATTCTGTATTTTTTCTGTGTGATAAAAGATCATTTTCATTGCTCTGTTTCTCAATATTGGTTCAGATTAAGGCTGTTTTGTGTGCGATTTCAGTTTTTTCCTCAGCTTTACTGAGGTGTAACTGATAAAGTTGTAAGATGTTTAAAGTGTACATCATGATGATTTGATATATATTGTGAAAGGCAGATTCAGGTGTCTTGTTTGGGACTTTCTGTTTCCTCTTTTAAGAAGGTTTAAATATGATAAAAAAAATTCAGAGAAATTGGAATTGTGAACTCGTAAAGGTGTAGCTTTGAAAGATTAATGTTTTACTTGTCTGATAAATGGAAGTTAGAGAAATCTATGTTGAATATCAGGAAATATGCAATTTACATACATGTGAGTGTTATAGATACCTGGATTACTACTCAAGGGCAACTCAGAATTTTAAGTTATACATATGTTGCATCAACTATATAAAATATTAACATCTTAATAAACAATTTTTCAGTGAACAGATCTCAAACTTTAATGTTTTCATGGTTTTTAGCCATAAATTGTTCTTTTAAAATATATACACGTGTTCATTTTTTTTTTAGATGCAATATGTAGTATTCCTTAGGGTCTTATTTTGTAAACACTGGAGAGGTTCCACAAGGTAAAATTATCACTGCAAAAAATTATGAAATTAGTAAAAGCTAAAATAATGGCTGTTGTCTATTAAGCATTTACTGTCTGCCGAGCACTATGCTGAATAACTGCACATTATTCACATTATTTTCAAAATGACCTTAGGAGGTAGTATTGCTTTCTCCATTTTATAGATGAGAAGTTGAAGCTCAGAGACTTTAGACACATACTTAATGCTTCAACTTCCAAAAGGAACTTTTAGCTTCAAAAATTCATTTTCAGTGAATAGCTTTTGAATAAACTTGTGCCCTAAGGACTGTTTACAATCCAGCCATCATCCTTTGGTTTGGTTGCATTTTCTTATTTCCCCAGAAGAGGGCTGCCTCACCAAAAAACCTTGCAGATTTTGATCTGAGGATTCCTGAAACAATTGAATTACCACCTCATAATTCTGCCAGAGTGTTTGAGAGAAAGATGTCCTATCCCTGAGTCCCTGCTTGCATGAACCATTCAGTTTTGTAGGAGAAGGGGAAGGAGCATGGAAGCAGAAAAGTCTTGTCAGAGGAAATTGTTAATGATGCTACACCCACGTACCTTTACGTTCAGTATTTTTAGACTTCACATGTTATTTTTCAACCCTAATAAGTTTTATTTTATTTTCTCCTTTCTATTATATACAAAAACTTCTAGAAAATATAGAAAGTGTTACAAGAAATACTGATAATCTGAGAACTTTCCTTAAATTTTTTTTAGCATAGCTGGGGTAATATACAGATATAATGGAGAGATTTTTTTTAAAACAGATGGAAAGTGTTCTTGGAGGAAAACATTAATAAAACTTTTTTTATTATCTCCAGTGGGTCACAAAGATACCCCCTGGAGATAAAGTAGTCATCACAGTAGACATTTTCCTCCAAAGAGTTTACTCCAGCACAGGCAATAGGCATTAAATAGCAAATTACATGCATTGGGGAGAAAGAGCACTGTAGCAACCTGTGGCATCCTGAGCTAGTCCACGGAGACAAGGGATGGTTGGAAGCTCTTTCCATATCATCTGGAACATTAGTAGACAGGGACAAAGATCTACTTAGTGAATGATTCATAGCTTTAACATGAATCTTAAATTATCTTTTTTCTTTTCCTGTGTTTCTTTAGGGCCCAGTGTGGTGGTATGTAAAGACATGGGCTTGAACTAAACAGACTTAAGACTAAATCCTGAACTTGCCAAACACTGTGACCATAATAATGAGTACTTATCTATTTGGTATCTGCTGCACCAGCCAGACACCAGAAGCTTTGTATTTAATCTTCCCTCTATCCCATACTGCAAAAATTCCCTCACTGCTCTAAGCCCTATCTCTGAAATGTGAATTCTCCATCCTACAATACTGTTGTGAGGATCACTGGGATGACGCATATAAAGCACCTACAGTTACAGTTCAGTCGCTCAGTCGTGTCCGACTCCACGACCCCATGGACTGCAGCACACCAGGCCTCCCTGTCCATCACCAACTCTCTGGAGTTTACTCAAACTCATGTCCATTGAGTCAGTGATGCCATACCCTGCTTATTTGACCTATATGCAGAGTATTTCATGAGAAATGCTGGGATGGATAAAGCACAAGCTGGAATCAGGATTGCCGGGAGAATTATCAGTAACCTCAGATATGTGGATGACACCACCTTCTGGCAGAAAGTGAAGAACTAAAGAGCCTCTTGATGAAAGTGAAAGAGGAGAGTGAAAAAGTGGGCTTAAACATTCAGAAAACTAAGATCACGGCATCTGGTCCCATCACTTCATGGCAAATAGATGAGGAAACAATAGAAACAGTGACAGACTATTTTTTTTTTTGCTCCAAAATCACTGCAGATGATGACTGCAGCCATGAACTTAAAAGATGCTTGCTCCTTGGAAGGAAAGTTATGACCAACCTAGACAGCATGTTAAAAAGCAGAGACATTAGTCAACAAAGGTTCATCTAGTCAAAGCTATGGTTTTTCCAGTAGTTGTATGGATGTGAGAGTTGGACCATAAAGAAAGATGAATGCCAAAGAATTGATGCTTTTGAACTGTGGTGTTGGAGAAGACTCTTGAGAGTCCCTTGGACAGCAAGGTGATCCAACCAGTCCATCCTAAGGGAAATCAGTCCTGAATAATCATTGGAAGGACTGATGTTGAAGCTGAAACTCCAATACTTTGGCCACCTGATGCAAAGAACTGACTCATTTGAAAAGACCCTGATGCTGGGAAAGATTGGAGGTGGGAGTAGAAGGGGACAACAGCCTACTACACATCTTTTCAAACTTAAGTAATAGGTGATAAAGACCTTGGTCAACTAAAGATTGAGATGCTGCATTCCTTTTTCAAGAAAATTACTGAATAACACACTATCTTGGCTTCAGGCCTGTTGACTTTAAAGAGTAATGGGATTACTGTTAGACTACAGCCAATGAGCAATGTTTTTAAAATTATTTCCAGATTATGGAAAAGTCAAATGTACAAAATTCTGCAATGTAAATTCACCACTGTTTTCATTAGAAACAAATACTCTCTGCTGGAGGTCACGAGGAGTTAGCAGTATAGCAATAAATTCCCTGGGCTCAATCTCTTCATAATTATTTCCAAGTTGCAGTCCTCAATTTCATCTGTCTGTTTTTACTTTCACACATAATATATACTTAATATCTTCTTTAATTTGACCTTTTCAAACAACATTTTTTTAAAAATGTTATGACTATAAATAGAAAATAAGTCTTTTGTCATAATTAAATGGCAATCACAGGTAAAATCCATAGTTACGGATTATATTCTACCTAGATTTTGTTGCCTAAGGCCTGGCTCTCTCTTTGTTAAGAGGGACAATTTTAAAAGGAGGTAGTGGTGTCAAAAGCATATTAGTACCAAATGGAAACTTTCCTTTATAAAATCAAATGGAGAATTGAAGAGGCAATAATTTGGTCATGATGGGATGAATTATTAATATGTCTTCCAGGTACATGCCCACATTTTGGACATTTCTTGTATATTGCATTAAGATGGCAGTACCATTAACATTGGAAATTATCCTCTAATTTTTGATTACAATTAACCTTAATCACATTTTTGTTTATCAAATCACTCGACATTTATTATTTATTTATTTTTTAAAAGTTTAATTTATTTATTTTAATTGGAGGCAAATTATAATATTGTAGTGGTTTTTGCCATACATTGACATGAATCAGCCATGGGTGTACATGTGTTCCCCATCCTGAACCCCCCTCCCACCTCCCTCCCCACCCCATCCCTCTGGGTCATCCCAGTGTACCAGCCGTGAGCACCCTGTCTGATGCATTGAACCTGGACTGGCAATCTGTTTCACACTTGATAATATACGTGTTTCAATGCTATTCTCTCAGATCATCCCACCCTCGCGTTCTCCCACAGAGTCCAAAAGACTGTTCTATACATCTGTGTCTCTTTTGCTGTCTTGTATATAGGGTTATCGTTAACCATCTTTCTAAATCCCATATATATGCGTTAGTATACTGTATTGGTGTTTTTCTTTCTGACTTACTTCACTCTGTATAATAGGCTCCAGTTTCATCCACCTCATTAGAACTGATTCAAATGTATTCTTTTTAATGGCTGAGTAATATTCCATTGTGTGTATGTACCACAGCTTTCTTATCCCTTTGTCTGCTGATGGACATCTAGGCTGCTTCCATGTCCTGGCTATTATAAACAGTGCTGCAATGAACATTGGGGTACACGTGTCTCTTTCAATTCTGGTTTCCTCGGTATGTTCATCATGACATTTAATTCAAGGAGTGGGGTGGGCTACAGTCCATGGGGTCACAAAGAGTCAGACATGACTGAAGCAGCTTAGGATGCCCTTAGCATATAATTAGGTTCAAATATTCGTGTTTGTGTGTACATACAAATGGGTTGAATTGTGTTCCCCACAAGAAAATTCATATGCTGAAGTGCTAACTTCCAGCCTCTCAAAATATGACTATATTTGGAAATAGGGTCTTTAAACAAATTAAGTTAAAGTGAAATCATTTGGTGGGCCCTAATCCTATATGACTGGTCTTTTAAGAGGAGGTTAGAAGAAAGGTATTTACAAAGGGGTGATCATGTGAAGACACAGGGGAAAGATGGCCATCTAAAGCCAGGAAAGAAGCCTCAGAAGAAACCAATCTGCTGACACCTCTATCTCGGGCTGGCCTCCAGAGCTGTAGCAAAATAAATGTTAGTTGTTTTAGTCACCCAGTCTATGTACATCTATCTTCTTTCTCCTCCTCCTTTCCCTTTGTCTTTTACCTTCTCTCAATAGTTTCATGGGACAA